TGGGGTATGCTGGTCTTGGGCGTAGGCGTCTGGAGGTTTCGGGGCAAAGATTGACGGCGTGTTCTTCGGTTTAGGGTTTACCTATAGTCTCCATTGTAGTTCCTTTTTTTGGTTTAACCAAATATATGTTAAGGATTTTATAAGGTATCCCCCAAAAAGGAGCTACAATGGAGACTATAGGTAAGCCTTTAAAACCCCTAAGCTCACCCTGAGCATCCTTGAAACCTGAAACCCACACCCCACTAAGCTCCCGGGTTTAGGGTTTAGGCTTTAGGGTTTAGGGTTTAGGGTTTAGGGTTTAGGGTTTAGGGTTTGAGCTCTCAGGTCAAGCCGGGCTCGTCCTAGGCGTGGTGATGACCTTTGCGTTTGCAGCGAACACCATGATCTCCTGCCGAGGGCTCTGATGCATCTTCGAGGTTTTGTCTGAGGGATTTTGCAGCCATTCTAGGGTTTAGGGTTTAGGGCATCTTCGAGTTTTTTTTTTTGAGGGATTCTGCAGGGGCGTATAGGGTTTTGGTTAGGCCGTTTAGGGTTTTGCAGATTTAAAACTACCGGGCTTGCTGATTTTAGAAGGATTTCCAAACGTTCTGTGAGGGTTCCGCGCATGTTTTAGACGGGTTTCGGGGAGTTGTGGTTCAGGGGGCTTGGACAGTTTTGGATTGTGTGCTCAAGGCCATAGGTCACTGTCAGTTTGGGAAAGGGAAGTGAGATGCATACTTAGAGGCCTTCGATGGGGAAATTGCAGTTGCCGTGCAAAAGGGGGAAGTTTTAAGCGCCCTTTAAGGCTGCGAGGCAGCAGCAACAATCACCGCTATGGTTCTCATCTTCACAGTAAGGCTAGCAACAGACGCAATTGCAAAGTCACTCATCACAACGGCAGTATTTCCGTATTTGCGGCAAGACGTGATTGCCGGCCTTGATGTAGCCACTGACATGTTTAACACCAGTAAACAGCATCATCGAGCGGAGCTGGTGCACTTTCCGAAATAAAAATTACATATCTTTCAGACAAGCAATGGGCCAGTGCAGCTGAGGTCTCGCCACCGCCCAGGCTTTTGCCAAATATGTCACCCAGCACGATATCGGCAAGATCTCGCAGCTGCCCTTCCCCCAGTCGGAGCCTCGGAAAAGGGGTGCCGGAAGTACGGTTCAGGCGAATAAGTCCGATCACAGCCTGGCCGATGCAACACTGTACGTCGTTCCAGGATTGATTAGACATGCTGCCGACGGATTTGCAGCCGATTTAATGCAGGGGCGTAAATAATTACCAATGCTGTTTTGGGGGGTTCCTTGTTACACGTTTAGTATTATTACGATGGGCCCCCAAACCCTAGTATAACTAAACCCGTATAGTAGCCGTTATTGAACCTTTCTTAAGGAACCTATTAAAGGAACCCTATGACACTCTATTCTAATTATTAAGGCCCCTATAGTACTGTGTGCCTCCCGTGACCGGCTCAAGCGAAGTTTGTGAAGCTGCGAGTGGCTATGACGGATGCTGGTTTCCAGAACGAGCGGTTTGGGCTTAGGTTTTAGGCTGTAGAGTTCAGGGTTTAGGGTGGATGCTGGTTTCCAGAACCAGCGATTACTAAGCGGCATTTTGGGGACCTTGAAAATTTCCCTTTTGGTTCCTATAGAGGCACCCATTCATAAATACTTTTAGGGGCCCCGAAACTACAACACCAGATTAGGAATCTTGACGACGTTTTCCGTGGCTACTGTTGAAATCAGCTGGCATACTTACGGATGTGCAGGATGTTGGCATCTTGGTTCCGGGTTTCGTTGTCGTGGCAAAGCAGTCGTCGTCCTGGTCGTCGTTCTGGGAGTCGATGTGGTAGTACGAGTCGAGTAGCTGTGGTTCCGGTGCCTGAATGGTTTGGGAGTCCCATTTGCTAGCCGTTCGACGGATCCACACTAGAACCTAAGCACCGGCACTTAGACCAGGATTCTGAGCCGTAAGCCGCAGACTCAGATTTCGCTGGACCCCACAATACACCCGCTCATGCCATGCAGCTTTCTACGCATGCGCTTGCATGTGCCGAGGTCGCATGTTCGACCCTTGAAGAAGCTTGCATCCTTTGGGACAATCACGTCCATGAGGACATTCGGCATCTAAAGATAGCATATCTGGGCTGCAGGAGTTAGCCGTCGAGTCGCTTTACTTATTAGTGTAGATTCTGTCCTGGTTCACTTGTTGCATCCTTTAACAAGCTTCAACACCCGGTCAAAGAAATCAGGTGCATGAAAGAGTTCGCGAACCTCCGAAAAGTGGCGAGTGGTTTTACTCTGTTCTGCTCACGTGACGTCTTCACAAGAATCTTCGTCTGAATGTCCTCAAAGAAGTCTCCGTCGGATGTACAAGGAGGGTCTTCCCTTACTTGGTGATGAGGCTCCAGTAAGACTTGGTGTCATAAGTTCTTTTTGTGGCACAACTAGTACTGTCACGTTTGCTGCAACAGGAATGCTATCATCAAGCATTCGGCTGTACGTTTGATACGGCTCCATCCGGTATTCGTCGTGGCTATGATCGGCTTAGATACAACTGAAGCTTCGAAGCCTTCTATGGATTCTATGGCGACCCGTACATGGGCTACTCACTGCAAGCCGGTGTGACTGCTTGATGTTGGAGTCTCCTCTCTGCTGGTCTCGAGTATGGTTATCTAACTTCACTTTAGGATGTATGGCGCTACAAAGGTTTCGTTTTTTGACCTCGGGGCCCCTTTAAGGTTTCGAGGCTTCCTTCCATCCACTTGTGGCTGCTAGGCTACAAACCCTCCAACTTTAACCAACCTCCTAAACACCAAAAAAGGGAGAGCCTGGCGGAAAAGAAACCTAAGCACTTGTAGCCCCAAAACCCAACCTTTATTTTACACCAGAGCAGCCGAGGACATAATATAGTGTTTTGTAAGACATTTTGATTATACATATATGTGTGTATGAGAGTGTATATAACGTTATAATATAGTATAGTATAAGATGATGCTGGCACGGCAGAGAGAGATATACAGCACTCCTAAACCCTAAACCCCTAAACCCTAAACCCTGGAAGAGAGGATGACCATTTCTCCCATCATCAACTCATTGGCCTGCCCCATGATCGGCGGCTTCTTCCTCGGGGTCAAAGGCGGGGTAAACCCTAAACCCTCAACTACCTTAACCCCGTACCTTTTTAAGGACTTATGTAAAGAAACTATGGTAAGGAGCCCTAAAATGGCAGGTTCTTTAGGGTCTAGGTAGGGCTTAAGGTTTAGGGTTTAGGGTCTCCTTTCGCCGAGACTGCGTCCGGTCCATACATCACGTAGCTTTGCGAAGTTTGGGTTTAGGGTTTTGGGGCTTAGGGTTTAGGGGTTTGGGGCTTTGGGGGTTTCGGGTTCAGAGGCGGGTTTGGGAGGGTTTGGAGGCGGTTCTGAAGAGCGGGCGCGTCAGTTCAGGGTGCTTCACAGACCCGCGGGTCCCAGCACAACATTGGTATTCTGATTTACAGATCCTGTTACAGGTCGCCGTCTTGACCGCCACTACCACGCCACAAAATCCCAAACCCGAAACCATGGCCTTTGAAACCATCACCGCCGAGGTCTGGGTCAAGCCTTGGTCTGAGGATAGTCAGCGCCACCAGCATCTTCACCACATCTCAAGCGTCGTCGTCAGCCCCACATCACCAGCACCACCAATAGCATTGCTAGTGTCGGCGCAGTCATCATCATCATCATCAGCAATATGCTAGAAAGTTTGCCCAACTCCAACAAAGTACTATTCTGCGTGAGCTGCAGAGGCATCACCATGATCATCGGCACAGCCACATGTGAGGTCTGGAGTCGGTTTCTTGGGATGTGCGTATTTCTTCGCTCCGTGAGCTCTCGACTCGAGGCTCCACCTTTCAGTAGTCAGGAGGCTTGTAGACCTGCAGGATCAGAAGACCTTTGAATATGTTCATAACTATGTATGTCTGTATACATGTAGGAGTAAAAATGTGCCAAAATACATGTATGAGTAAAGAAGAATATTTAATGCCAACCCTCGCCTGAGCTTCGAGTGCCAGTGCCAAAAAATGCATAATATAACTATACATACATACATACATCCATGCATGCATACATACATTCATGTTTAGACGCGCGCACACACACGCACACACACACAGACACACACACACACATATAATATATATATATATATATATATATTTTTGCATTTGAACGCTGTCAGAGGAGTACGCAGCCTAAT